ATAGTTTCCACTCACTATGCTATGCTAATAGCCTGGTGTCCCTCACCTCTCAGGACGAGAGCCTAGGGAGACAGGCTGGAGGTGAGGACTTGCAGTGGACACCCCAATCTCATCTGATCTCTGTTGCTGTCTTGCTGTGATATGGACCAGGTTCCCCCTTCCCTGGGCCCTTGGCTCACCCTCCCTTGGGTTCTGATGTACCTACTCTATTATTTTAACACACTGCCGGGCTATTCACAGGGGTCAGCTGAGAGGACACAGGGATAGAGGGGATAGTGGCTGAGGGATGCCTTGGGCTCTTGGGGGACTCGGACACAGCAACTGCCTGGTGCTTGGCGCCCACGTAGCCAGCAGGCGTGGGCCCGCGCGGTGCCGGGGAGGCTGACATTTCAGCGTTGCCTGCCAAGTCACTGAGGGCTGGCACGCAGTGGTGGGTGGGGTGGGCATGCTGTGGTCTCGGGGGGCCAGGGGATGCACAGGCAGGTGACCTTCTGTTCTGAGGCAGAGAAGGGAAAAACGGGCCCCCAAGGACCTTTCCAACCAGGAGGCTCCTGGTGAGTGTGCGCGTGTGCACATGCTCCCGTGTGCGAGCACACAGGCTAAAGGCTGCACCAGAACAAAGAGCTGGGGGCTGGGTATCTGAGGGGCCCACGTGGAGACGCCTGACTTGGCGGTTTGCTGCAGTGTCTGCTCTGCGCTCACGCTCCATCTCTGTCTGTCTCTCTCTCTCACTCACTCTCTCTCTCTTTCTCTCTCTCTCTCACACACACACATACACACACCCGCACAGCACTGCCCCCAGGCCTGAGCTCCTGCTCCAGAGTCCACCAATGCCGGCATGCACAGCCCAGCCCAGCTCCCCACCATCTCCCCTGACAAAGCACCGCTCCTTGCTGTATGATCTCATCCCATCGGCCCTCATCTGGCCTCAGCTTGGCCTCCTGACAAGAGAGACAGACAGGGAGATGGAGCAGGAGAAGAGGTGGGGGAAGCAGAAGGGGAGAGAAGGGAGAGACACTCAAGGGCACAAGTACCAGCCACACAGAGACATGCACCCCCACAGAGGCACTTGCAGACATGCATACCACATCCAACATGCACAGACACGCTCCCCCTACACATATGAACATATATGCTCCCCACCTCCCACAGACATGCCCTTTGCCACACACACACACACACACACACACACACAGAGGCATGTGTACAGCTTCCAACACACACAGACATGCTCACCAACACACAGAGAACATACACCACACAGGGAGGAAGTCTGAGGGAAGACAGAAGAGAAGGCTAGACAGAGACAGACATACAGACGTCAGAGATTCCTCAGAGAGAATGGTGAGGGGCAGACTGGAAGGGAGAAAATGGCACAAGCCAGTCAGACAGAGTGGGAGTTGAGACAGAGACTGAGAGACAGGAGGGTGGAGAGGCTCAGCAGGCTGGTGCAGGAGCTCCGAGGACGAAGCAGGCTCTGCGCTGCAGACACTGGCCGGGGAGACCTCAGTCAGCTGAGGGGTATGCCTGGCGTGACTGCAACACATGCATACCTGAGGCTGCAGGGACCCTCACGGCTGCAGCCAGAGGTGAGTTACAGCAGGTCACATGGCCCCTTGCAGAGCCTGGGGAGAGAGGGGTCTTGCTGGGGCAGCAGAAAGGTCTTTAGATAGGTGGGGAGCCAGGTTGGGGAAGAGACAGATAAGCCAAGAAGGCAGGATGCAAAATAACATTTGCTCAGCACCCACTGTGTTAGCTGGGCCCCTCATTTCCATCATTAGGGGATCTCATTTAATCCTAGCAGGCAGTCTGAGGTAGATGCATAACCCATTCTTTACAGGTGAGGCCACAGATCTGGGGGGTGGGCAACATGATCAAGAGTGGGCCAGTGCTGGAGTGGTCTCTGGAACTCGGGTTCTCTGCTTTGCTCCCCCAGCCTCTGCCTCTCTTATGGCCCAGACTGCGTGGGCGGGCCCTTCACCCTGCCAGTGAAATGAGCCTGGAAGCCTCCTCCCTCAGACTGGTGCCCTGCCTTCTGGGAAGATGGGTTGGGCAGGGGAAAGACTGGGATCCTGAAAGCTGTGAGGCCCACACCCGTGTGTGTGTGTGTGTGTGTGTGTGTGTGTGTGTGTGTGTGTAGCGGGGGGGGGGTGCCTAGTCACGGCTGTCAGAGCTGAGGAGAATTTAACTCCTAATGAGGGAACTCAAGTGATAGCTAAGCCTCAGGCATTGCTGGGCCTCAGTGTTCTCAGCTGCAGAGTGGGGACACTAAAAACTGGCCTCAGGGCCCCAGGGCATATCATGTGACTTAGTAGACACAATGCACAAGAAAGGTTTCTGTAGCCTGTAAAAAGCTGCACACAGCTGGGGATACAGGTGGAGTACAGACAAACCCCTGTTTCAGGACAAGAAGCAAGGAAGGAAATCCATTCAGAGGTAAGCAGGGCCGTGATAGACTTCAGTCAAGTAAAGGTCCCTCCCAAACATAGTGGCTTCCTAGCTCCTGGCCCATGAGAGCTGAGGGCTCCTAAATCTGGGTCCCCAATCAGTCCCAGGTTGAGCTGTGGTGGTGTAGGCACAGCCTGAGACCTGGACTCAGGAGTTCATGAGTTCAAGGCCCAGTGCTACCACTGATGAGCTATGTGACTTCAAGTAAATCACAAGACCTCTCTGAGCTTCAATTCCTCATCTGTAAATGTACGTAATACCCTGTGTCTCATGGAGCTGGGCACTGAAGTAAAACAGAGTGCACCCAGCATGTACCAGTAAGGGCATAAGCGACCCCGGCGTCAGGGTTGGGGGTGGCTGAAGAGGGAGCAGTGGGGGCTTCAGGGACAGTCCTTTCCTGTTTTCCTCCTACCCCTCTGGCCATGTTTCCTTGTCTTAGTTTGCTTCTTCCATATCCCTTGGATTCAGCCTTTCTCTTCACTTCATATGAAGTGGAGCCTTTCTGGTCTAGCCACCATCATCCTCACCCTGACCTCCCCAAGCCATCTGTCAACTGGCCCCTGCAGCTGCTGGTCCCCTGTGCAATCTGTCCTTTTGTAGCTGGAGTGATCTTTGAAAAATGAGAATTTGGTTGTGAGCTTTCTTGTTACTCTTAGGAAAAAGACTTCAATTTTCAAGACAGGCTCTGGGTCTAGTTGCTGTTGACTTCTGCCTCTGGGCACTGGAACCACAGCCCTCTCAGTTGTGCCAGAAGCCATGTTCTCATCCCAGGGCCTTTGCACAGCTGGTTCCCTGTATCTGGGAAGAAACTTGTCCTCCTAATCTTCATCTACTCAACTTTTACTCAAACTTCAAGTCTCTGGGAGTCTTTTCCCTACCCCTGAGTGGTCTCCTAGCACCCCTGACTTTTCCTTCAAGGCACTTATCATAGCTTGGATTACATCCACACATCCACACTGTTGATTGTTTGATCAATACTTTTCTCTCCTTCTAGAGAGCTCAGGAAACTCCAGCCTATGAATCTGCTTTTGAAAATACATTTTACTGGAACTAACCACACTGTCTGGTTGCTCTTGTAGCGCCTGGAAGGCCCTCAGTATTGACCATCTGGACCTTTACAGACAATGTTTGTTGGCCCCTGCTTTAGACTGCAGGTTCCCCGAGGTGAAGCCATATCTGTTTCCCTCCTCATGGTAACCCAGTCCTGGCTAGGGGCTGGCACAGAGCAGGCCCTCAGTGGAGACTTAAGTTATTATTAAAACTGCAGATTCCATCACGAATAGACATAACTCATGACATTCAAAGACCATTTTCTGGCAAGTGGTTCACTACAATAGCGGTATCCCAACACAGCCGGCCCGTCAAGCAACTCCGAGTAGCTATTAGCTAATGAGACCTCCATGTGCCTCTAACCAGTGACCCACGACCCGCACGCACAGACAATAAACACACACAGAAGGGAGAACAAACCCGCACTCGAGACATTGTGGGTTTAGCAGATTGATGAAAACACAACGTGAGATATCATTTAAACACTTTCATTAAGGCTGTTACTGTATATACCCCAAAGAACTGATTGACGAATACAGAGAAAACGTCTGTTTTATTGTTGTACAGAGGAAATAATTGATTTTTTTCTTTCTCAATGCATTATTCTGACTCGATAAAGAATGTTAACAACATGTAGACACTGTGCTTGGCACTGTACATATTTCGAGAACTTACAATGACACCTGCAAGGTAGGTCTCATTGTCACTCCTGCCTCCCCAGGGGGATAAACTGAGGCTCAGAGTCCATGCCCCTAGTAAATGACAGGGCTGGTTGTCACCAGTCTGTTCAGTTAAAGCCTACATTGCACCCCCTGCCTAAGCAAGAGACTGAGGGTGGTGGCAGATGTAGAATTATACCTTTAACATGCTTATAGCCCTCACAGACAGAATCTGCCCCCTGGGCTGCAGAGTTGCAATGCAGAATACTGTGCAGAGCAGACTTTTAGAACCCTGGAGGAACTGATTCGTTCTTCATTTTAATTTGTGCTTTTTAAAAAATAGATATATATTTTTGGTGGTGGTGGGGTGGATATAGTGGAGAGTCAGTGTTAAGAATGCTGACGCCCTAGCACAGGACTGGGCTTAAATCCCAGTGCTGCTATTTTCCAGGTGTGTGACCTGGGGAAATCTCTTCAGCTTCTCTGAGCCTCATTTCCCCATCTGTAAAATGGGGATGATCACAGTGCTCTGGCCAAGGACATACTTTGGTGATCCAATGAAGTGATGCACTTCTGCCTTCAGCACAGTGCCTACTGTGGGGGCCAGGGTACAAGCCCTTCAGTGTCCCTGAGGTACCTCCACAGGTAAGAATAGTTCTCGAGATCAGGGACAAGCCTCACAGTAGGCTCCAGAGTCCAGCATATGAGCAATGGATGCTCAGGGGCTCACAACATGCCTGGAAAAACCGAGGTTCCAGCGTATAGGGGTGGCAGCCAGTCTGGCTTAGAGTCAGTTCCCCACCCATCTCCCCATGAGGTGATGGAGCCCCAGGGGGCACCTACCGGCAGACTTCGGAGTGAACTTGTCTCGGTTGGCGGCACACACAGCCAGCAGTCTGTAGCCGAGGTCCAGGTCGAACCCTTGCTGAGCTGCCACCCGACTGACCACCTGCCAGGGAAAGAGGGAGGAAGGGCAGGGGTGAGCTATTGCTTGTGTCAAGTCTCTGAGTCCAGAATGTGGATATCCATTTTACAGGTGGGCCAGGTGAGGCAAAAGGGTTAAGGCTGGTCCCCAAGATCAGGTAGAGCCGGAACTCAGACTATGCTTTGTCTGGTATTCATCAAACACTAAGAAGTACCTCTTTCATGAGAGTTGGGTCCCGGTCCCTGCTCTCAGGGGTTTCCAGTCTGGTGTGTGGGGAGTAGGGAATGGGGGGAAACCCCAAAGTCCAGGCCCTACTGCTTTCAAGGCTCATATCTGTCCACATTCTAAAAGTTGGTTGGGGGCCTCCCCAGTGGCGCAGGGGTTGAGTGCTGGGTTGCGAAGCTGCCTGCAGCCTCTGCAGCGCCGGTTTGATCCCTGGCCACTGGGTGAGGGTCCCACATGGTGTGCAGACCTTTCCTGCCGCCCACTGCTCCCCTCAGCAGTGTATTTCGTCAGTCTGCCTGCTCTGCTCCCAGCTCTGACTCTGGTGAACTCTCTCACCCTCCCGCGCTTCTGACTGTACCCAGTGCTTGTATAAATAAATAAATAAATCTTTAAAAAAAAAAAAAAAAAGTTGGTTGGGGATGCAGTACCGGTACCGAGTTTGCAGCAGCCATCTGTCTTTCCAACCCTTTTCCAAGGCTCTGGTTCCCAGGAATTCTCTCATGCCAACCATCCCTCCTACAGTCACTGGGCTCCTATGCCCACCTTTCATGGTGGGGTGATTGCTCCCTTCACTACTCTAGAAACAGTCCCTGTCCAACAGCACTGGCCCCTCCTGAGCCAGAATCTTCATGGAAGAGAAGCATGGACGGAGGATGCTCTGCTCCCACGTGGCCACGCGGCGCTGCCTGATGGCCGGCTGACTCTGCCCTAAGTGGCCAGCTCTCACTGTCCTCGGTACTTAGCTTCTTGCCAAGCACCCAGCTGTTCCCTAGGCCCCCCGCTCAGAAACTGCAGGATTCTCATGCTCAGCCTGGGGTCTGCCTCCTGCACCAGCGCTGTTCAGCACATAGCAGCTCCCATAGCAGCCAGTGGGAGCTTGTCAACATCTGTGTATGTGGAGCCTGGCGCCCCACTTGTGAGTCGTGAACCTCAGAAGCAGAACCTGAAAGAAGTAGTGGGGGGAGGCCAGGGAATGGGAAGGTTGTCAGCCTCTGGGCATGGGGTGGGACAGGGTTCTCTAGGGCCCCAGAATGGCTCTGCAGGCTCACACCCATCTGGCTTCTCTCCTTCATTCCCAGGTGTCCCGACACTGCCAGATCTGCTCCCTCCTGCCCGCCTTCCTCATTAACAACAGCAAAATTAGGTTTCCTTATTAAGAAGGAAGGACCTTGGAAAATGCAATCGTTTCAGGAAGCAGCTGGGGCGGCTATGGCTGACTGGGAAAGCAGTGCTCCCAGATGTGGGAGGCCCTTCTTTGGAGAACGGGAAGACTCGAGCGAGCGTCAAGTCCCGAAGAGACCACCAGCTCCAGAGGCACTTGGCGGTCCTGGGAGGAGACTCCACCTGCCATGGGGTTTAGATCAGCCCTGGAACCATTAGAGGAGTTCCCCATTAGCTGTTTTACATTTAGGGGTTTGCTACAAGATCTCTAGGGCTAAGAAGGTTGGAAAATCCTCTCATTTAGAGAGCGGGTCCATGGTGAACCCAGAAGACAGGGGATCCCCTCTTCCAGGACCACCAGAGTCTCTTGAAATGGGACCTGCTCCTCCCGCACCCCCCCCCTCCCAACTCTGTTCAGGAGAGGATAAAGGACTCTCAGGGTAGAATGTTTGCTCAGTTTGCTGGTCACAAACAGAAGCCCCTGACACAGAAGTTTCCTGATCTCCCCAGGCTCTTTCCCATTCACCCTTTTTGGCCCGGTGCTGTGATTCTTACGACACTCCCCACCTCCAAAACACACACACACCATGTTCCAGAGTCTGAGACACCACAGGGTGGGTGGGTGGGGGCATCATCACTGCTAGTCTCACTAACCAAGTGAAAAAACTAAGGTTTCCAAGATTCTTTAGGGCTTGTTGGATACTTTAAGTCTTTAGATAGACGCTGTGTGAAGCGGGGAGAAGGATCATGTTAGCTCAGATATTGATTATGGTGACTCCTTTCTTTAGTAGGAGAAACTTGGGGTGGATGCAAGTACATCGACAGGTTTGTTTGGACAGGTGCATCAGTGAGGCTGTGATGTGTGGGAGATGTCGATGCAACAAGCAGTATAATGAGGCTGGCTCCCAGGACAAGGGCTAAGTAAATGCTTTGTAAGCTGTGAAGTACCAAACTCTCTCAAGAGCTCCATGAGGTGGTATTGTTAGCTCTGTTTTACAGATGAGGAAACTGAGGATGAATAACAGCTCAAGGTTACAAAGCTTGTTCTTAAGGAGCCAGGATGCAATCCCAGGCAGCCAGGTCACAAAGTCTGGGCTCTTACCATGAGAGGACTTCTATTTTACCCATCAAGGGTTAAGGCCTTAACTTCCACCCACCTTAGAGAGCTGTCAGGCCCTAGGTGAGGGCAGGAAGGTAATGGTCCCTTGGTTTGGCCAATACTGGCTACTCCTGTTGTTCTGGTTTAAAAGCTAAAAGAAAACAACTAGCTAAGTTGACCAAGAGGGGCCTGGTACTAGTATAAGTGTTGCCCTGCAGCACAGGGAGTGTCGGCTTGTCACTAAATTCCCAGAGCCCCAGTGTTCAGAAGGGTCATTGGTTCCAATAGTCTCCTTTCACGACAAGGAAGCTGAGGCCCAGAGAGGGAAGGGCCTTGCTGAAGGTCACACATCACAGTGTGGCAGTGGGCTACAGTGCCTCATGTGCACCCCTAGCTTCCCTTGGCCATGCCTGAAGATTCCCCAGAACAGTCCTGTGAGGTGGGGTCTGACTGACAGTGATGGGGAGGGTGGGCTCAGCTGAGTGGTCAGCTGTGTTCTGAAGAGGCCTCTCCTACCCCAGTGGTCATGGCACCCAGGGAAGGTCCTGTGGGGTGGGAAGACCCCTCCTCACACAGGCCTGTGGAAGGTGGCCAGGGCACTGCTGCCCTCTGCTGGCTGCCTGGGCCCATTCAGCCCAACCCAGTCTGCCAGGGCTCCAAGGCCCAGACCATGGGTCTCAGGGAGGGGAACTACAGATTAGTGAGTCCAGCCCCTCATGTCACAGAGAGGGAAACTGAAACCCAGAGATGAGAGAGGGGGTTTGCTCAAGACCATGTGGCCAATTAACACTAGTGCCATAAAGGTCGAGTGTGGCCCTGAAATTCCTTGAGCCTCCTGGGCAAGAGGCAGGACAGGCTGTCTGGGAGATGCTAGAGAAGGGGTGTCTGCTCCCAGTGAGAGGGAGGGGACAGCTGAACCTAACAGTCCTTTCTGATTCTGGCATCCTCTGAGGCAGTCAGGGAAGCTGGAGGCATGCTGGGCCTGTGCTCCAGTCCTGTTCCATGCTATAATGTGCATCAGGTTCCTCTCTGTTAAGGTGTCGGGATGTCCCCCATTTCCAGGGGTGAGGATAATGGAGTCTGACAGTTCCATGGGGCCTGGCTCTGTCTCCAGGGCTATACTCATGGTATAGGGGCTCTCCTCAAGTCCCTCGGGGCTTGGCCCTCATTCCCACCTGGTGTCATACTCAATACCAGGCTAGGCAGCAGGTGCTGCTGCTCTTTGAAGTCGGACCTGAGAATGGGTTCTGGTTCTGCCACTTACTAGCTCTTTTATCTCACTCAAGTGACTTCATCTCTTTGGGCCTCAGTTTCCTCAACTGTGAAATGGGTATAAAATGTCCTTCTTGCAACAAGACGGGTAGACAACTCAGTGGATGCTGCATGCGACCTGCCAGCCCTGGCTTCCATGGGGCATGCTTTGAGGGGACACCTCACTGGAGAGATGGGGAGGATGTTGCTAGTTGGCTCCCTGGTTTCTGTTTTCCTTTTCCACCTCCTCTCCCACCTGTCTTTCCTCTCCTGTGCCCCAGTCACCTGAGTCTCTTCTATCCCCTGAGCTTTCCAGCATGCTCCCCTTCCGGGGAGCAAGAAGGAGCATGTTCAGAGAGGACTTATTTCGACAGACCCCCAGAGAGGCAGCTGAGCCCTGCTGCTAAGGGAGGGGGTCAGTGGAATGAGCTGCTGGGGAGAACCCGGTCCTGAGGGGAAGAGGTAGCCCAGGACTGATGCCCCAAACTGCCCCCACACTGCATCCTGGGGTCAGAGGGTGTGAAGGGGAGGGGGGACGGCCAGTGGGCTCTTTGTCCCAGGGCTCAGAGCCTCTCACTTGAATTGTGCTGAGCTGCTTAGAAGCAGTATTAGCAAAAGAAGAAAAAAAAGGTGTCCATTTAATGCCTAAGACTGAGTGGTTTTTAATTTATATTGTTTGAATAAGTGGGATCCAGAGGAATTTGCTGCCAGAGTCACCTGGGGGATTGTGGCAACCTGGAGTGCTCAGTGCCACCTGCACAGGGAGGGGTGCATGCATGTGTGTGTGTGGGGCGTGTGTGTATGACAACCTCCCCCTGCTTAGGCCCCTTGGGAATCTCTGATCACCCTATTCCATTCTCCCATGGGGCAGGGCTGGGGCTGAGGATGCCCAGGGGGAGGGGAGGATTGGTAGCAGGGTTGGGGTGCTTAGAGGATCAGCAGGACCAGCCTGGGACTGTAGCAAGTTGCTCCCCCTATCTCACTTGTTTGTAAAATGGGGTGATGATCCATTCCCTGCCCATCTCTTCATTTATACCCCTCTCCCTCTCCTTTGCTCTGGTTCTCTGAGTCTTCTTGCTATTTCATGAACAAATCAGGCCTTCAGGTCTTTGCACTAGTAGGTTCTGCTTCCTGGAGCACCCTTCTCTCTCAAACTCCATGGCTGACTCCTTCTTGTCTTCTACCTGGAGGTCTCTTCCTGACTCCACAGCCTCCAGGGTGTCTGTCCTCATTTAGTGTCACTTTCCTCCTCTGGAAGGTAAGCTCCTGGAGAGGGGGCTGGTGTGCTCACGGCACTTCCTCTGATGACCAGCGCAGGGCTTGGCCCACAATGGGAGTTATGTTTGTTGAATGAATAGGCGAATGACAGAGCTGGGGCTGTGCCAGTCACTGGCCATCTCATGCCCATCATCCAGCAGGGCCAGGTTCAGGGTGGGATGGTGGCGTGCTGAGAGGTTGTGACCCTGAGCTGTGTGGGATCCCTACCCTCTCTTTCATTATGGCTGGGTGAGAGTGAGGGGGCTGGTAACATCTGTTCCTGCCCACGGGGCTTAGCGTGAACCAGGATCCCTACAAAGAGGATTAAGGGAGCTAGAGGAAAGAGAGGAGAGCTCAGGGGCTGACGGATAAGGAGAGCTAGGAGGTTCAGGCGGCCACCTGATTTGGGCTGGTGACCTCAGGGAAGCCAGATGGTGTTGGTTTCTTGCAAATGGAGGAGTCCTGGGAGGGTCTTGGCTGCCTCTCTGCCCGGTATCCCCAGCGGCCACGAGCATCCTCTCCAAGGCAGACGGGCCCGGGTTTCTCCCAGGTCCACTTCTAACTGGTTGGGTGACCTTGTGAAATCAGTTGCAAGTCTCCATTTGGGAAATATGGTAGGACCAGGCTCATGCAGAGGGAGTGATGACTCAGTGAGCCGGCACAAACAATAGGCCAAGTTCAGTGTCACGGAAGATGCACTGTGCATTGGTGGTCCACGTTATTGCCACTATTTCTTTTGTTCCAGATCAGGGCCATGGAGCTTCCCTCCTGTTTGGAACTTCTCAGGAAATATGGTTTCCTTGGACTTTACTCACTGCTCCCTTCTAGCCAGGCCTCCATCTTGGCCTCTTCTCTCCAAGCTGGGGGATGGCCAGGCTCCCCTGCAATCTGTTTCCCCACAATCCCTTCAAAGTCGACTCAGCGTCCACTAGGAGCTGCCCTTGCTGGCCACTGAGGCCTCTGACACTTATGGACACAGGTCACATGGCTGGGAATGCGTGTAAGCTTTGAGCTTTCCACATGGCTATTGGCCCACAAACTTATAAGCTTAGAAATCATGCTGAAAGCCCTGAGCTGGGCCTCTGATAAGCTCATATCTTAGATCCCTACCACAGAGTTAATTTGACTTTGCGGGGTTCTCTTGTACATCTGGAACTTCGCACATGTTGTTCCAAGTGCTAAGAGAGCTCTCGCTATCCTCTGTCAATTGGCAAACTCCTACAGATGCATAAGTGGCCTCTCTTAGCTTTTCATGACCCACCCAGCTTCCCAGGCAGTGAATACTTCCCTTCTTTGTGCTGTCTTCATCTTGTACATGATTTTCTCAGTCATCTCTGTCCACAAAGAGGAAATTGGGTTTGGCAAAGTCTTATTCATCTTTGGTTTCCCAGAACTTAGCGAGGGGATCGTACATGATAAATGAGAGATCAGTCAATGTTTATTTGGATAGATGGATGGATGGAATAGGAACTCAATAAATGTTTAGCTGAATGGATAGATGGATGGGTGACTATAAAAAGAGTTCAGTAGATGTTTGCCCAAATGAATGAATGAATGATTAGATAAAAGGACGGCAGAAAACCCTTCGAGTCTTTTTGCTTTGTTTGTAATGGAACATTACCTCCATTTTACTTAAAACTCCCTCAAAGTTGGCCCTATGTTTTTCTCACCAAATGTGGAGCACTCACATAATCCCTGGGGGTTTAGGTCTTCCCTCAGGTTCCCTGACGGAGTATGCGTGTTTGGGGGTATAGGCAGAAGGGTGCTTCTCTCTGGCACCAGTGTCTTCCTATCTCTCCTGTCCCTTTATCTGCAGGTTCTCCAACACCTGGACAGACAAACTAATCCCAGCTGTCTCCCCAGGGCACGAGTGCAGGTGGGAGCGGGTACAAACTCACCGTCAAACAGCCCATCAGGCTCTGCTCGAAGGGCCGCTGGAAGGCTCTCGGGTCTCCACACCAGTCCAGCAGCTCCGTGGCAGCATTGTGGAAGTTGGCAGGGTTCTGTAAGTGCTGTGGGAAAGGAAGTGGAGGTCTGTGAGGCACTGGGAACAAGGCAAGCATGGGGAGGAGGTGGGGGTTTGGAGCAGGGGAGACCCAGGTCTCACTAGGGAGGAGACTCGCAGAAAGGGGCAGATCAGAGTAACAAGCTTTCTCAAATCCTTCTTATTCTCCTTCCTTTACATGCCCACTCCACCTCATCCCCTGGCAGAATGGGAAGCAGCCCCACATCAAAGATAGGAAAACCAAGGCCTGGCCATGGGCAATGGAAGTAGATATGAAAGTGTTTTCTGGATGCTGGCAGTAGCGGGAGGTGAGCCCTCCTGGACTCTGCAGGGTGGTATGTGGCTCCCACACTTGAAGCTGCTCTCCCTGGTCCAGGGCAGGCTGGCCCTGGAAACCCCTCCTTGATGAGCTCCCTCTGCGGATCTGGCATCAGAGCCAGCTGTCCCATAGCCAGATAGTGTATGTGTGGGGTGTGGGGACCAGCCTGTAGGTTTGGTGGAGGGTGGACTGAAGCACGCTGTGTGCTGTTATTGCCCCACTATGGTCTGGTGTATGCAGCTTTACAAACCCAGTTCCCCAAACCCAGTGCAGTCTGGCTTGGATCAGGGGACTGCTGGCATTGTTGAGTGGTCCTGACCCGAGCTAAGGCCCCTCCCAGTCAAGGGTCTGAGTCAACAGAGATTGAATGCTGGGGCCACGGTCACTAGATTCTGCTGCAGACAGAGGTCACAAGGCTGGTGAATGGCCGTGGTGGCTTCCAGGGTTACCTCTGTGATCTTTTTTTTTAAGATTTATTTATACAAGAACTGGGGTACAGGCCAGATGCGAGGGAGGGTGAGAGGATTCACGAGAGACAGAGTAGGGAACAGAACAGGCAACAGAACAGGCAGATTGACTGAAATACACTCCTGAGGGGAGCAGTGGGTGCGACAGGAGAGGTCTCTGCTGCGCCAAGTGGGATTCTCGCCAGCCGGCCGGGATTGAACCCACGCTGCAGGGGCTGAGGACAGCTTCACAGTGTGGCACTCAACTGCCTGCGCCCCCAGGGAGGCCCCACCCCTGTGATCTTGAATGCTTGTCCATGGCTCCCAGGTCATGCTGAGTTAGGCCCTGAGTCCAGGAGAAGAATGATCCTCTCAGCATCACAGAGCAGGCGAGGAGCAGAGCTGGGACCCCCATGTTAGGTGTGATCACCTGGGGGTCCTCCCACAGGACCCCTAGAGGGTGTCTACTGGGGTCATTGTCAGCCAGCTGAAAAGGGGGAGGTGGGAGCTTCTCAGGCCCTTGTGGCCTGTGTGCCGGGAGGAACAGGAATGGCGGCTGCCCAAGACAGCAACTCTAGCCTGCAGAGCGTCAGCCTTGGAGCCAGGGCAGGGAGAGGCCTTGGATGCTGCTAGGTCCTGGAATTGGGAGAGGAATGGAACATGCTATGGGAGCCCACTTGGGGCAGGGGCCCAGGGGTCACACTCTGTTGTCACCTCCTCCTGGTCATTGACTTAGCCACCCCCATTTCCCTCCCCTTTCTGAGCCTCAGTTGGCCCATCTGTAAAACGGGGGTGGCAGGTCACAGTTCCAGGTTCGGAGATGAGAATTTTTTTTTCTTTTACTTAGGGTTTCATGACTGTTACATGGTGGTTTGTGTAAGGTAAGATTTAAAAATGGATGGAAGAAAGTGAAGCAAGTTGGAATCTCCTCCCTCTGTGGGGGAAAAAGGCAGAGGGAGTGAGGATGGAAAGAGGAAAGGCTGCAGCCGCCCAACCTCTGTCGCAGGGCAGGGCGAGGATGACATAAGAGGCTGCTGGCAAGGCACCTGGTGCGTGGGCTACCCCCACATGGGGCTGCCCTTAGCCGGGAATAGGTCTCCCAAAGGCTCCCCGGAAGCGCAGCTGCACTCAGCTGCTCTCAGCTGCTCTCAGCACTGTCTCTGCGCAGAGCTCTTTCTGCAAAGGCAGAGCTCCTTGCATCTGATTTGTAGAAGATGGGGAGCTTCCACATATAGAAACGTGCCCTTTGAGAGGGCAGCAGTGTGTCCTCACTCACCTCTGCTCCCCTACCCTCTCTTTAAAATGTGCCCCTTCAGAGGTCATGGGCAACATCGGAATCCATGTGGAAGACCATGCAAATTGGCTCATTCCCTGCCCAGCAGCCTCGCTCGGCTAACCAAGTTATTCCGTTTATTTACGTGATGTCACACCCAATTATTGGGGCACAGCCACCATGGGCTGCTCTCAGATCTGCCTGCCCTCAGAACCCCTCATGTCTGGCACCTGCTTTTGGGGTGCTGGGTCAGTTTCAGGGGGCCCAATTTTGTTCTGGCTTTTAGCCTTCCATATCTTCCCTGTCTGTCCCTGGCTTCTCTACCCTCGCCCCAGCCAGCTTGGCCTTCAGCTTGAGCTCTTGGTGGCCACTTGTGGGTGCAACTCATTGGCAGAAGGATCAGGCATTTCATGTGATGGCCTCAGCCCAGCAGCTCTGCGACCTTGGCCACGCCCTCTCCCTCTGTGCTTTTGTTCCCTGTTTGATTATGGCTGGAGTGACAGACTGAGTGACGGTGAACTGTGCCAGGCGGATTTGGAAACCCATCTCTGTCACTGAGTCATGCTGCCCTGGGTACTTTCTGAGCTTCAGATCCTTGACAATTGCAGGATTGCTGCACAGTGTGAAAGCAACACACATAACAATGCCCCTGTTACAGCGTAAGTGCGGTAAGGCTGCTACTCCCTGGGATGCCAGGCCTCTGTGTGGTGCCTTATTTCTCTTCTGAACGCCTTGGGGGTAGAAATAGCTCCCTGTTCACCCCTGGAATGTGAGAACATGCTAGGCTGCCCCCCCCCACCCGCCAAAAGTGGTTGTTGAGCAGTTAACTGTCTGAAGGTTAGCTTTTGATGATCTGGGGGCAGGATCACAGATTTGCTTCAGAGGCCAAGGTCTGCCTGGTTGTGGCTGTTACTAACACTAATACCAGAAAGTATGCCTATGTCCACAGAAGACCTGGGCTATATGCAAAGGCTACCAAGTCTGGTGGGGCAGGAATAGAACACGAATACCCAGACCAGGGATCACTACCCAGGTGCTGAATTTATCTTATAAATCCATCTGTGAACCAAATGGTCCAGCCCTTCACCCATCCATTCACCAAAAATTACTCAATTTATCCACTCATCCACCCCCAAAATGAATCAGTCCATCCATCCATCCATCCATCCATCCACCCACCCACCCACCTGCCCACCCACCATTCATCCATTCACTACTTTATACTGCACACATTTACCCATCCATCCACCTGCTTACCTATCCAGAATTTATCCTGGTACCCACTCATCCATTCATCCATCTATCTATCATCTAGAGCTACCCACCCATGCACCCACTTAACTACCCATCTATATGCCATTCTATCCATCTATCTATCTATCTATCTATCTATCTATCTATCTATCTATCTATCTATCTATCTATTGATCGATCGATCAATCAACCGATCTTCTGCCCCAAGGAATTTAGTCTGTGGGAGACCTGATAGATGCGCCACAGGAACATAGGAAGGGTGAGTAGCTAAGTGCCCAGGAAATACCAGGGTTCAGAGATGAGGGGTGCAGATGTCGAGAAGCGCACCTGGGCCTTGGGGAGGCTGCCTGGCAGGAATTAGCATGGGACAGCAGGTGCGTGTGACCTTAGTGTGGGACACCTTGGAGAGGGAGCACTGGCTTTCCCTGTACCCCAGCACTCAAAGGGGGAAGGGAAGCCAAGCCAGAGGCCTAGAGGGAAGATGGACAGCAAGGTCTTGGGTGGGGGTGGAGGGGTGAAGGTGAATAACAGCAATGGATAGAACCAGGATCTATTGGCTTTATCCATTAGATAGAATGGGAGAGGGAAGGCTATACCAGAGAGGTGAGGTAGGACAGAGAGTCTGAGGCTGTGAGGCCCCACCAGTCAGAGGTAGGTACAGCCAACACATCCGTCATCCTCAGAGCACGCAGACCTTTCTTTTCTGATTAGGATACAGGACGTCTGAGAATCAACAGTCTCAGCCAGCCGTGGCTGCCCTCTGGGGCAGCTGTGGAGCAGACAGACGTCAGTGCTGAGCTGTGTCTGACTGGAGGTGGGGAGGAGGGGTATGATGGATGCAGGGAGCTCTGCATGGCCCGGGAGGCATCTGGCCAGCTCACACGCACAAATGCGCCACTGTCTGGCCCCGTGCAAAGCTCTCCGCAAGCGTGTGTACACATGTGTGTGCATGTGCGGGGCAGGCTGGGGGAGGGCACACTGGCTGATCCCTGGCCTCCAGCTGCTCTGGCACTCACTGCCTGGGGGGCATTACGATGCTCCTTCTATAGCTCCAGAGAGGTGAAGCACAGCTTAACCCAGGCCAGGTAGCAAGTAGGGGGTGGGACAGGACTCAGGTTCGATGACAGGTAAATTTGAACCCTATGTGCCATGTTTTGAAGGCTGCTCCCCAATAGGCCTCTCTGCCCATGTTGGGCCCTGGGAGGTCCAAGGCTTCCATGGCACCCCGATTCCTGGTGATGCAGAGCCATCAGTAGGGGAGAAAAGCCAAGTTGTGGGCAGGCCTTGGGAGGAGTTGTGTGCTCGGCACATAGAGGGGATGAGACACAGTGGGGAGCGACTGTAGTGTAGGGAGGGTGCTGACAGCTGATCCCTTTTGGGTGGGAGAAACTGGGTCAAAGGCAGAGCTGGGAGAGAGCCCTGCAGAGCCCTGAGGAGGAGGAGGGAAGGGCAGGGGAGGAGGGAGCTCATCGTCTGGTTTCTATTCTGTGACCGTGAGCAGAGGCGTAATTGGCGTTTGGGAGAGCTGTTCGGGCTGAGTTCAATCTGTAACAAGTCTTCTTCAATTTCCTCTCCTCAGGCTGCACTTGGGCTCCCGAGATTGCTCTGCTTGATGCTAATGAGAAGACACACGTCCCTCACTCCTGAGCTCTAGCCTCAGTGCCGCTGGCCTGGTGCTCAGGGGGGACAGGCCTGTTGGGGTGGGGCTGAGCTCCGTGTCCATCAGGGCCTGAGGTCAGCAGCCTTTACTGCTTACCTGAGCTTCCTGCCAGGCCCATGCAAGCCAGCTATCCTCTCCCTGTCTCTGAGGACAACAGCTCCCACTCCCACTGGTGACCACCTGCCTAGTGCCAGGGCCAGCTAGAAATGTCACCCACGGTCTCACAGCATCCTAGGAGGTAGGATTTACTGGCCCTATCTGACATTGGGGACACAGAAATGCAGCGACAGTCCTAAGATGGCACCGTGGGCACACAGAGGACTGGGAATTCAGGCCGGTCAGTCTGATGCTAAAGCCCCTGCTCTCCCATTATAGCTGCCCCATCCTGAAGTTAATCAACACTTTGCCTGGGCTCAACCCATTCTCTTTAAGTGGGGGCCAGTGGGCCCCCTCCTCCAAACAACTGAGATGGGGAACTGGCACGTGACTCACCTCCTGAGCTTGCAGAGATCACTGGCGGGAGGGAAATTCACTACCTCAGCAAAGGGGCCCTCCTGGCATCTGTGAGTCTGGGCTGCATGACTTTAGAAGACTCCCTCCCCTTCTCTGTGCCTCAGTTTCCTTTTTTTGTACCTTTCCCAGGCCTTTTCCTTTCTCTTTCTTCATAGAGAGCTGGAGCAGAGGGACAGGTAGCTTAGGCATGGGGAGGGGCTGGGAGAGAGAGACCTGTGTTGGGCACTTCACTGCATCCCCAAGACAGCCCAGAGCACATAGCAGAGCCCAGAGAGCATAACACTGGTTCCAAGTTACATTAGCTGGCAAAGAGACAGATGGAGCTGGCATTTGACCCCAGGCGTGTGTGATCCCAGGGCTAAGCTGGTCTCTGTCAGCAATGTTCTCAAGAGGTGGGTTACTGCCCCAGGCAGCTGGTCCACACCCACATCACCTCCTCCAGGGACCCCCATGCCCAGCTGCACTGCAGCTGGCACCCCCACTGCTCTGCCCTTGGTAGCTGCAGGCGGGGAGGAAGTGAGCCCAGGCCACACACGCACCTGTTTGATGCACTGCAGTCGGTCATTGGTCTGCTGGATGTGCCTGTCCATAGAATTCATTCTGGCCGTTGAGCTGGGTTCTACCCGAGAGCCATGAACGTTGTCCAGCCTGTGGAGAAAGGAGAGAGGGTGTCACTGGGGTTAAACCAGCCTCACAGCCACCCTCTGGCTCCAAGACCAACTTCCTGGCCCCAGAGGCTTCCAGGTGGTTCCATCCTTTGTGAGCTGCAGAGGCCTCTGTCTAAGGCCACCCTTCTGTAAATGGGGCTCTGAGGGAGCCCCTTTTGGGCGAAGGACAGGAGGTACTCCTGGGTATTTTCCATGTAAGCATGGGTATGAGCATTTCTGCGCGCATGCGTGTGTGTATGTGTGTATGTTAGGTGGTACTTATGTTAGGTGATTCTCAGTTCAGGCACAAGCCTACCTGGACTCTACATGTGTGCACACACGTGTGCATGCATGTGTACAAGTGTATGCATGTGGATGGGATCATCCCACATCGCAATCTTGCCCTGCCTGTGGGTCTAAGTGCAGCGAGCAGGTCATGGGTGCCACATCCCCCAGAGCCCCCATGTGTCAGAGTTTTTCATGTTTTACAAACCACTCACAATTCTATTTTCTCCCTTCCCCTCCTGGGAAAGAAGGATCGCAGAATGAGCACCATTTGCATTTTCCAGGTAGGGAAACTGAGGCTCAGGGAGCAGAAGAGAGTTACCGCCAGCCTATGGCCAAGTGGTCAGGGAACATGAACATCCCGGTCATCAGTCTCACCCTTCCTGTAGGGGGTGGGCTCTGGAACATTGACATGAGTGTGAATTCCTTCCAGGTAGAGAAGCTACATAGAGATGGTGTCCCCAGCTGCAGAAAGCCCCTGAAGTCTCCAGTCCTCCCCAAGGAGTCCATGACAGCAAAGTCAGAGATGGTGCTAGAGAGACAGAGACCGAGAGAGGGGGCAGAAGGGTCTGCCCAAGTCCACCTACTGCTCAGGGACCAAAGTAGAAGTTTGTCCACAACCCAATGGGCATTTCAGGCTGCAGACACATGGTTTAGACACGGTGCCGATCTGAGGCCTGTGGGCCTGGCCTTGACCACCATCCTACGACCCTTGCCTCTGGTCACGTCACCAAAAGCCCTGCTTACTGGCATTTTCCATATTCTGGGCCCTGCATTCCCTCCCATATCCTCATGCCCACTCTCTAAGACGAGTATGTACTCCATTTTATGGATGGTGTCCAGAGATCTGCCACATCCCCACAGCTGATGGGACTTTGGACTATGTGCGCCTGACTGTCTGCCCCCATCCCTGTATCTGCCTCTGGAGAGAACCCTTTGTTGAGGGAACCCAGAGCAGCCTGGCCCCAGCATTGGGAAGAAAGCCCTGCTCCTCCTCTAAAGAGCTTGCAAGGGACTTTTCTACACAGTTCCTTGTAAGCACTTCTCATCATTCCCTTTGTGTCTGAAAAAGCAACTCGTCTGTGTGGTTCAAGAATCAAAAAGTCCCCAAGAGTATCTAGTGAAGTGCTCTCCTGTGCCCACCTCTAGGAGCCCTTCCTGTGACAAGCCGTGTCATCAAGATCCTCTTTCCAAGGGTCTTGGCTTAGAGAAGCAAGGTGAACTGTCCTCCACCCTTTTCCTGAAAAGTACATGATAGCATTCCATACATACTACCTAGCCCTCCCAGAAATATGTCAAAGCTGATTACGCATCAAGGCATAAAGAGCCTTTTATTTTTGACTGGCTGCACAGTATTCCAAGGTATGGCTGAATCATTCATCCAACTAACAAGTGAGTGTCTACCCTGCCAGGCAGTGTGCTTAGTCTCCAGGCCCTAGACCAGGCCCTTCTGCTGAGGGCTCACACTCCAACCTGAGTGATAAAGCCTGAAGCTCTTACCAAATTTTATTATTGCAAACAGTGTTTGTACTGTTACACTGCAGTCACCTTTCACGGTGGCTGCCTCATACACGTGCGAATTAATCTAGAGAACATACTCTTTCAAGTGGAGGTGCTGGATCATTTGCATCTATGATAAATGCTCTCTGGGTTTACTTTATCTTGGAACTCTCTTACAAAAAGGTAAAAAAGAGGGAAGAGTCCTATTTAATTTTTCCACCTTCCCCTGCCAACCACCCCTCCATTCACTTCACCTATCACACCTGCACCCAGATATCCAACTTCATCATTTGGATGAAGCCCAAATGCCGGTCTGTCCATCTGCCCTTCCAAACTTCAAGAATGCTTCCAACTCACCCAGTAAATACCTTTCAATATTTATACTGTGCTGGGTCCCATGCTAGATTTATGGGGCGTGCAGAGATGGAAATGAAATAACTTTTTGTGTTCAAGGAATTCCTGGTCCAAGCCTATATTCACTGCAGGTCACCAATTACGTGACTATCTGTTGAGTTCCTGCTGTAAGGGAGGCACTGGTCCAGTATGAGGCACACACAGACAGTTACTGTGGCCCCACTTTGCAGATGAGGAAACTAAGGCTTATAAGTTTAGGTTACAGTAGCAGCTGGCTTCAGAATCCTGGCTTTCTCTTTACAACCAAAACTTTTTTTTTTTAAAGATTTATTTTTATTTATTTATTTATTTATGTATTTATGTATTTATGTATTTATTTATTTATTTATTTATTTATTTATTTATTTATTTATTTATTTATACAAGCACTGGGTACAGTCAGAAGCGCGGGAGGGTGAGAGAATTTACCAGAGCCAGAGCAGGGAGCAGAACAGGCAGATTGACGAAGCACACTGCTGAGGGGAGCAGCGGGCGGCAGGAGAGGTCTGCGCGCCATGTGGGACCCTCCTCCGGTGGCTGGGGAGCAGCCGGGGATCGAACCAGCGCTGCAGAGGCTGCGGGCAGCTTCGCAACCCAGTGCTCAACCGCTGCGCCACTGGGGAGGCCCACAACCAAAACTTTTGTACCGGTACTGGGGAAGGGACAGGGGTCTCCTCTGGAGGCTGCAGTGTCGCAGATTGTATAGAGGAGAGGGGAGAAGAAAGTGGAGGTTTCACAGGGCAAATTTCTCCTCTTGAGTTTACTTGACAGTGCCTTAGCCAGCATTCATAACAGCCCCCCCCCCCCGGGGTCAGGGGCAAGCCATGACCTGGGAAGCACCAGAGTGGAAGTGAGCCAGTGCACCCTTGGTGAGGCTACCTTGGTTCCTGAAGCCAGACTCCAGCTGAGCCCAAGGGACTGTGGTGGTCTTCTAGGATCCCAGGAGGTTGGGAAGCGCCCCCATTAAAGGGTACAGTTTCCACAGCCAGGTAAGGGCAGGGATGCCAAACAGGATAGACTTGTTCAACAAAGCTTTGCATCAGGTTAGGAAAAGGCTGACAGAAGTACAAAGAAACCCCAGGTCTGTGCTGGTCTCAATCTCCCTGTCCACAGGCTGTAGTCAAGGACAAAGAGCCTGCAGTGACCCATGTGGCCAGCAGGGAGCACTGTTGCCGAACCTAAGCGCCTAGAGAAGGCTTGGGAGGCTCTGTCCTCAGAGCCCTTCTTCATGGAGCATCTGAGTCTCCCCATCAAGAAGGTGTTGTGAGCTGGCTTCTCCTGTTTTCTAGCCTTGGTTTTCCCATTTATTCAGCATGATGGGGTGAGGGTGGTGAGGGAAATTAGGAGGCTTCCTAAGGCTCTAAGCAGAAACTTTTCTCAGGTTGGGGCTGGCATTTTTCCTAGCGCCAGAGACTTATTGGGACCATGGTAAATGGTTGTTGAATGACTAACAAATCACTTCTGGAGCCTAGAGGTCCTTAGCCACCCAGAGAAGCCCCAAGCAGGCAACCACTTGGGGTCCAGAGGCTGTTGTTCTCTGTTGAGCCCCATTGGGGAGAGGGACACAGGTCTCACCTCAGGTAGTAAACAGAAAGAGGGGAAGATAGAACTTTCTCCATGCTGGCTCACAGGCAATCCTGTCTGGACACCAGTGGCTGAACTGAATTGGCTTCTGGATCCAGAGTCTCAGAGTATAATTGTCCAAAAGTGCTTTGGGGTCTCCTGCCTCCCTAACAATTCAACTGGCTTTACTATAGGAAGCCTGAGGCCCAGAAGCAGCTTGTCCCAGGCCACACAGCACATCTGGGCTGGGTCCAAATCCCAGGAGACTTTTCTCCCAGACCAGGGCTCATGTTCTTGGAATCAAGAAATGAACGGCTGGACCCGGGACACCAGTGAAATCCAGAGGGTGGGTGGGCGGCTCGCAGGAAAGACATCCTAGATCAGAGGGCCTACTGTGTGTGTCTTAATCTATAAAAGAAAAAAAACTTCTGCCTGATTAAGGGGCACTCAGAGGTGAGATGACATCTGTAAATTGCCAAAGTCAATGGTAAATCAGGACTGGATGGGGCTGGTGGCTCCCTCCTACGGAAGAAGGAGGAATGCAGGCATGGAGAAAGGAGGAATAGGCCAAGGGAAATGTGAGAGAGGTAGCTGGTTGAGGGGTGGTCTGTGGTCTTTCATTTATCCTGCTATATGCAGGTACCAGGCCAGGCCCTAGGCAGTCCTAAAAGCTCAGAGTGGTGTGGTGACTTGCCTGGGGTCACAAAGCCAGGAAGGCGTTGGGCTGAGATTCAAACCCACTGCCTTTCTAACCCTTAATGTGTTCTTTTTAGTTCTCTAAGACCGAAGGCTACAAATGGGTCTGAGATGGGCCAGAGATGTTCCTCTGGCTCCACTCAACCTGTTTAAACCCATCCACTTGCTCCAAGTGCCACTGGGCTGCCTGCACGCTGGCACAGAGTGGAGGGGAACACTCAGCAGCCAGCAGAGGTCGCCCTCCACCATGGCACCATTGCTCAGCTTGGCCACTGCCTGGCTTCTTGAAGCCTGGGCTCCTTTAAGCCTTTACAAGTTGCTACAAATCCTCTGTGGCTGTAACTCCAGTGCGCAGCCCCCACTGCTGTACTGGCTCCCTCCCAACTGGCCATAGCTGTCAGCCTGGTCCCGGGTGCACCGCTAGCCTCAGTCTTTTCTGCCCTTGACTGGGGACAGCTCTGTGGTGTGCCCCAGTCCCTCTCCTGCCTGAGCAGCCAGAGCCCGAAGGAAAAATAAAGCTAGTCAGCTTATGAGACCCTGCTTTCCTGACCTCCTGCTGTGTGT